TTATACAAATATTTTATATATAAAATCAAAATTTCATTTTACTAAAATTAGATTGTAAACTGAAGTTACCTCTTTAAGATGAAAAATTCTTACTCTTTAGAAATTCCATTTAAATTTTAAAGGAAATCCTAATTGTGTTAAATAAATGCGATTTGACTGCAATAATTCGTTAAAATTCCGAAAGAAATATGACTTAATATGATTGCAACATGGGTTTGGTTTTTAGGATCCTGACAAATTCGCGGCCAAGCAATTGCGAAACCGACGTGGCTGTCACACCGTGATACCGAGCAATTGCAGCGAGCAATCAAGTGAATGTTGAAGGGACTTGTCAATGTTCACTGAACGATCGTCATCGAAGCTCTTCGATTGAGCAATGCTCATGGGAAAACATATCCTCGAATGTGGCGCGTCAATTTCACAGAGAATATTTAATCTACATAAATAACGAGTGTCAGCGCGTTGCGACGTTTATATATATTGTGTGATAAGATTTTTTTTAATTATCTAATATTTATGCTCCAAAAAAATTTATAAAATTTTTTACAGAAATATTTTATACGTATAATATGTAAAACCAAAACGTTTTTTGAGATTGAACGATAGTCGAATGATTATTAAAGACGTACAATAGTTACGTAAAAATAATGTGCGTACGTAACGTTACACGAGGTCGCACACATGCTATCAATCATATTAACACAGTATGTGTATGTATATAAAACTTTATAAATAAATGTATACATTTTTAACACTTTATTCACTTTAAATTTCTCTAATATTTATATCTTCTTGTCATATAAACATTACAAATTTATGATAAATTATAATATACATCAATCATTCCAAGCGTTCATTAATAATAATTTTCATTAATGTGGGATTTAAATTTTTTTATTTTATTAATAACGTTAGGACTAAGAATTAGAGATAATTATTTCATTAATATTTTATAAATATTTTATAAACAATTTTGAAAATATTAAAATTTTATTTTGTTTCCATGAAATTTATTCATATAAGTAATATTTTATTTATTAATCATTAATTTCGTAGAAAATAATAAAAAAATATTGTGAGAAATATCGAAAAAAGAAGAGTTAAAAAGAGCTGCGTAAAAAATAAGTTAAACGACAACGATCTCCTTGTTAGTATCTTAAAAAGAGTTTTATGAAGTCCAGTGTATAGAATCACCCTCCTCGGTCTCTTTGATTATTTATCGAGTAAAAAGTCCTGCCGCTTCCGCCAGACCCCAGGACTCCGTCACTTTGCTTCACCAGCTAGGGGGATGCACAGAAATGCGCATGCGTCCAGAAGGGGTAATATTCCCCATCTTGAACCGGAGCATTATTCTGTAACTACAACCCTTGTGGGGTAGGTCGCAGATATTCGTGGTCAACACAACATATATCAAGTAAACCTCGTTCATTCCGAAAGTGCGCTTTTCGTCACCCTTGACAAGTGAATACTCGTGAGTCACCGTGGGATCGATTTCCGGTCGGGAAAACCACCTTGGAAAGATTCAGGAGAGAATTTAGTCTTCCGAAGCGGAATCGGGCGTGAACGGGTCCTACACGGCGTAACTAACGTCTGCTTCCTTGTACGATGTGATTATACGCAGTATTGAATTTTGCGACTGTTATCAGATACAAAAAATCGACGGTCACGGCTGCTACATCGGAATTCTGTGAACATTCCTTGGTAAGACGATCAAATTTGGAAAAATTATATTAAATTAGGATTTTTATCAATTTTTAGCAAAAAAACGTAAACTGAGATATTGAAATATTTGCGTTAGTTTCGTTGTCTAAATGCCTGCATATCTAGAATTTAGAATAAATAAAAAAATGTTTAAAAAAAACGAAAACTGTTTTTATCGCGATTGAGACGCGGATTACATCCAATTATATAAGACAGTAAATAAATAATTATACTCATTAATATTGAAAAGAGATTGCACAAAGTTACTCATTTGGGAATCGATAATGTTGTTAATGCCTTGTAATTAATAATAATAATAATGAACCTAAACAAACCTCAAACAAACCTAATTCAAGTAACCTGATAATCGATAAGGGTAATGGATCAGGATTATATTCGTACACGACCTACGCGATTCATTTAACGATTAAGTATTTCCCTCGCGTAGTCAAGCGCATGATGGAGCAGCTGCATCGTCCTATGTAAGAACTATTAATTATGGCAAGAATGAACGTAGCATTACACTATGTACGTATAATAAATTTATAAATTATAATTTTTTCAAATATTTTAATCATATCAAAGAGAAAACTAATTTATACCATTGAATATAATTCTTTTTTAATTAAGCTATAATTATCTTTTAATGTTCTTTGTATGCATATGATAGTCATTGAAAAATATAAATAATGTTGCGTTATATTAAATTTATTTATTATTCGTTTATTGATTCATTTTCAAAAATATCAATTAAAATTGGCTTAAATGTGAAAAATAATTAAATAATGTGGTCTTCATTAAACAATGCTAAATAAACTTCGTTAGCATGTGCTATAAAAAAAAGTATTAGATAGGAAAAGAATCAATTATTTTAATATTCCTTTCAGCAAAGAATTATAAGAATATAAAAAATTTAATATCTCTTTTAAAGGAACAATGTTTTTAATGCATTATATTAATGAAACATCAATGTTTTTAATAATATATATTAATGAAACAATGTTTTGCATATATTTTTTGCTTATTGTATTATAAATTACGTAACAGAATATTTTCGATTTACGCTTGCGTGTCGCTTTGAAATTTATCTTTCGTTTCGTTATTAAATTTTCTATAGATTTTTATTTTTCAGTGTACGCGTTTCATTTTTTACGTGACTCCCTTCCCACCCTTTAATTCAAAATATTCCGGATTGATTCTCCAGTACTAGTACGATCACGTTCTGATGCAATTGCAATCCAATTGAGTATCAGCAACCTCGGCGTTGCGTCGGGTCCGAATTTTACGACAAGATTCACGGTCCACGTGTGTACATAGACGCGATGTAAACTTGATATTGATTTTGCGTCCAGCATCCATGAGCGTGGAGCGCGCGCACGGCCAACGGCGCGCTCGCGTACATAAACGCAAACATATGCACATTACATACACACATGTACGTAGACATGTGTATACATTACTTGGCACGTGCACCCTCTTCATTGCCGATCCTGAATCGGCTGGGTTACAATGGTAAAAGAAACAGGGAGAGAATTCCTAGAGGAGGGAGATGAATGTGAATGAGCGAACACACGCGATATAACTGCAAACACGCGTGTAGCTACGACAATACGCACAAATGGCCGCGGTACTTTGAACAGTAAACCGGTTGTATAGGTTCCGCTACCTGGTTACTGAAATTCAAAGCGAGATTTTGCGAAAAATATATAGCTATCGAGAATACCGCGATTCGGAAATAAATCTGAATAATTATCTCTATTATTCTTTCATAAATTAATCTCATCGATAACAGAGAGGAAAAAATTTAATTACGTAGTTGAATTCGGTTAATGCGATGTTGACTTTAAAACAAATGATTCTAAAAGATATTGTACAGCGTTGTACAAATAGAAATTTATCTTTCGGTTAATTCAATGTAAATTTGTTTAAAAAGTTTAATTGCGATATCAATCACACGATATCATAATACGAATGTGTTGAATATTAAAAGCTAGTAAAGTGAAGATAATTCTCTCTCCGAAGAAAAATGTGATTTTAAATTGTTCGAAAAAAATATAACAAAAATGGCAAGTAACAAAATATAAATATAAAAAAATATTACGGGAGGATGAATTTTTAATTATTTTTTGCATTTTTCCATAAATTTAAAATTTGTTTTTTTTTAAAATTATTTACGTATATCAAAATCACAATAATTGGAAAAAGTACTCAGATTCCACTAGAATTTCAAAGAATTTAAAAAATTAATAAAATATAGATGCAAGAGATATTTGTTATTCTCGAAAAATTTTACGAGATATTTTCTTATAAATTTAGAAATTGTTCTAAATAATTTGATACACTACAACTTTAATTATTTTTATCATTTATTATGAAATTCAAATTCATTTCTTTTTTTTTTTAAATTATTGTTTTGTAAAAATATGCACAATAATCGGAAAAATATCCAATTATATGTCTAATAATTCTGAATTAAAAAAATTAAATACAAGATAAATGCAAGAGATATCTGTTATTCTCAAAAAATTGAATGAGGAATATTCTCTTGTATATAAAAAAATTGTTTTGAATAGTTTGAAAGCAGTTATAATATACAATGCTAAATATATTAACAAATTTGCTTTGTTAGTTTAACATCTGCGATGTTATTAGCAATTCATTTTCAATATAACCGTGCCATTTAACATGATATTATTCAAAGGTCAACGAGATTATATATCTGTATGCATATACACATGTTCTCTGCAAACATATCTATTGGAAAATCGGCGAGGTAAATGAAAATGAGTAGAGTCAGAAATACAACTCCGAACGACATTCGTAATTGTACTATGCAATTGCGTGGTAGGCTTTATCAGAACGTGGGCGGAGAAATTTACTGTTGTAGGTGCATCGCTTTTTTCCTCCGAATGTAATAGAGGTCATGGCGAAATGTCGATGTTCGAGAAACCATGTATTTGTACCACTGCTCACTCGGAAATATAATCGCTGCTATTATCAGATTAACTCGCAATGAAAAAAATCTGCATAATTGATTAGATCAAAGAGACATTAATAGTTTGCAGGATTCCTATTCTTGAAAAGTATCGCATACGTAAAAGCAGAGAAATACAAGCAGCATAAAAAATAGTAACGTATACTATAGTATACTATAGTATAGTTTATCGTATATGGTTTTTTTTTTCAAGAATAGGGGCTCAGAGTTTTATAACTAATAATAGTAGTAGAAGAAAAAGCTCTTGTATTTTTCTTTCCGAAAGAAGCTTAAAGAAATAAAAGGAAACTCAAATGTTTCGAAACTTAACTTTGAAAAAAAAGGAATAAAAAGTTTAAATATTTTTAAACTAACTATTTTGAAGATTAAATTCTACTTTCACAGAATAAATGTTCATGATGTTTTATCAATCTGTTTTTCAAAAAATTAAAAAAAAATGAATATAAAGTTTTTTATCACATATATTCTATAAAATTATAGTAAGACATCGCGTGTCCTTTCTAGGGAAATTATTACTTAACTGTATTATAAGACAGGACAAAATCATGATAATCGATCACATGAAGGCCACAAGAATTTGCGTTTCATCCCTCCAATTACATTTAAGGATTGACTTAGCGCTTCCTTCTAGATTCAGTGTCAATTTTCGGTATATTTCAGACTCCATGGCGGAGAAAATGTATTACTGGGGCGAGGAGAAAGATCAAGTCGACCCCGATCAGACCTTCATACAATTCAAGGCCAAATCGGTGGCGACGGATAAGAGGCGTGAGCCGTCTCGTACTGTGCCGAAGATGACGGTGTCTTCGCCACAGGGTAAAATGACTGAAATCGGTAATAGAGAGGAGGATGCCGAACGCGGCGGATGGGACAATAAATTGGATTTCCTATTTTCTTGCATAAGTGTTTCCGTCGGATTGGGAAATGTCTGGCGATTCCCTTATCTATGTTATAAAAATGGCGGTGGTAAGTAGATGAAATTAGATTTACACATCAACAAAATAAATCATTAAAACTTTCAATCGTCGTTTAAATTTATTATTGTATTACAGATTTGTTATCAAAATAAAAAGATTATTTTGCTAACATATACAAGTTAATTAGCATAAAGAATATTTTTATAGTTAAAAGTTTTATATAATTTTTAGTTTAATATAAGGTCGTAATAGAATTCTGTTATTCCATTTAAAAGCTTCTTCAGAACATTAAATTTGCCACTATAGTCAGGGATAAAATAGCACCAGATTTCAGTGGCGTCCGACATTCATAATTATTCCTCTAGAGTTTAAGTCATGCAATTCTTAATATGATGGAAATGGCTTGTGTTAAAATTTAATAACCGCGGTCTTCTCGAGTTTAATTACTATCTTATTATTGAGTTTCTTTTACGTTCATGTAATAAAAATGAAGTAAGATAAAAAAGAACAAGAATAGATTGCTTTAAATTGCGACCAATAGATTTGTTTGTTTATACTCCTTCGATATAAAAATAATTGTTATTAATATTTATATAAAAGAATAAATTTTTTCCTTAACAAATTTTGGAATTTTTTTTAATTTTTTGCTTTAGGCGCTTTCTTGATCACTTACGGCATTGCAATGCTGTTTTGCGGAATTCCTATATTTTTTCAAGAAGTCGCTATTGGACAATATCTTGGAGCTGGTGGAATGTCGTTAGTGGGACAATTGTGTCCACTACTGCAAGGTAATAATTATTTTCTGATATCTTTAGGAATGAAAAAATTGTACAGCCTAAATATGTCAACAATAAATTACATTTAAAAAAATACTAAATTTTAATAAATATTTATTTGAGTAATTTTTAGTAAATAGTTATTAAATGTAAATGTATATTTATTTGATACAAAAACCATTAATTTGATTTAACTATCATTTGTTTACTAGAATAAATATTTATTTATTGAAAGTAAATGTTTAATATTCAAAGAAATGTGTATTAAGATTGTATTGTATATGTGTATTTAGTAAATTTTTTTTAATGTAACAAAGCATAATATATTATTGGATTTCAGGTGTGGGATATGCTACGATGACCATTGTATTCTTCCTTGACGTATATTACTGCATAATTATTGCTTGGACTCTTTTTTACCTAATAAGCATGTTTGTGAATTTACCAACAGTACCTTGGAGTGGATGTGGTAAACAACACAGCTATCTTATTATTAAACACATTAATAATTATATATAATATATATATATATATCCTTGTATTATATTTCGAATAATATATATAATAATATATATA